CAGAATCGGGTTGGGGTGAGCGTTTTTGCGGTGGAAACACCAAACCCCAACCCGATTCTGACCCGGTTTGGTGTTTCCACCGCAAAAACGCTCACCCCAACCCGATTCTGACCCGACTCTAGCCAGACTCTGACCCTCGGTGGAAACGTAGTCCTAGCGAACTGAAACTCGGCCGTTGATTGGTCGACAAGGTTACCTCGTCCGTTAACGTTCGCTGCGGGTGCTGGGCCAGTTATTGGCCAGTTGTTGGCTGGTGTCCGCGTTGAAGCTCGAGGCTGAAGCTCGACCAGCTCTCGACGTCGCGACTAGCCTCGCGAGGAAAGACTTCTTCTTCTTCTTCTTATCCTTATCCTTAATGGCTGCTGGATCCAAGGCGGCTCCAATATGGCCACGGCTAACCAACGGTCGTCTTCGCGGAAGAAAGTGACGCGACGAGACGCACAACTCCCATTGGTTGTCGCCCCCTCGCGTCCAGTCTGGACGAGCCAATCAGGCGACGCAGCGACATCGAGAGCGATATCGCGACCACTCGATACCAATCGAGACCGATCGAGGGCCTCGAGGAGTCGTTGGGTCCCGATAGTTTACCAGGTGGCGACTGTGTCCGAGAGTCACCGTGGTCAGGTTGATCAGGCGACTCGTAGGTACGTTGAGAGGTTGCGCGAGCCCGTATCGTGTGTCGTTTCGCCACATGTTGATTAATTGAAAACGGGGGAGAGATAGAAACGCGCGTCCACGCGGATCCCCGCGCCACTTGGCGTCGCCGTCTGTCGTTTGCCGTTGGCCGTTCGCGGACCGTCGTACGTTCTCTCTTTCTCTCGCTCGCTCTCTCCCCCCCTCTCTCTCTCTCTTGCGCGCGCGCGCTCTCTTTCTCTCCTCTCTCTCTCCCTTCTTCCCTTCTCTAGAAGCCCCGTTGGCCGAGAGCAGAGAGTTGTACAGGAATTGTTACCGCAGTGCGCGCGCGACTTTCTACACTCTGCCGAGGAGCAGCCTGGTGTGTTACGTCACGCGGTCGTTGACAATCGTCGAGGGATCGTCGGGACGGACGTGAGCGTTGGTGGTCGGTCGAGGCCAGCCCGCGCCCTGTCATACACCAGCCAGCAGCACCGCCGCCCCCGCACGCGCACCCGCAACCCCCCGTGCGTGCGTATCGTATTGTATCGCGTACGCGCGTCCTCCGCTCGGAGCAAGGGACCGTCTCGTTCGTCGCGGCTCGGCCACGACGGCGCTTCGCTTCGGTCGCGGGTCAAGAGCCACCGTCGAGCCTCGCCGTGTCGCCCGCCCCGTGCGCCACTTTGCGGTCGGGCTTGTCCGGCTATAACCTAAAAGCCCTCGTGAATGTTGATAGTCCCCGCGGCCACCTTCTCCTCCTCCTCCTCCTTCTCCTTGTTTTCCTTCGGCTCCCGTTCCTCCTCCTCCTCCTCCTCCTCCACCTCCACGTCGCCGTCGCGTCAGTCGTCCCTGCGAGGAATTGCCGAACGTGGGGGCGTCGCGTGAAGGGGGCAAACTTTTCGACGTCAAGCGGTCATCGGTCAAGTAGTCAAAATTCCGGTCCCTACTAGGAAAGAGGGCCTCCAGCAAACCGGCGGCAGAAATCCATCAGCGATCGGCCAGGAACCGTCAAACAAGATGAGTAGTAGCAAGAAGAAGCCTCGTACGAACAATAACAGGTACTGCCAATCACTTGGCTTTCCTCGTCAAGATCATAATAGCAGGTACAATATTCATAACATAGCGACGCGTATCGGCCGTTGAAAATAACACTCTTTGATCCCCGCCCTCTTGCAGGTCCCCGCGGGCGCGCGTGCCGCAAGACAGATGCGTCGCAGCCGAGGGGGTTTATAACAATGCTCACTTTATGCACGCCGTCACTAGCCACGTGGGCAACATAGTGCAGGTATTGAACGCGGGCGTTGAGTCTCCCGTGGAAATTGTTGATTATCGGCCGCCCGCTTACGGATCTAATGTCCGCCTTGGCGCTCCCTTCCGCAGATTCAGACTCAAAATGGCTCCAAGTTCGAGGGTGTGTTTAGAACGTTCTCGAGCCAGTTCGACGTAGTGCTGGAGATGGCTCATCGCGTCGAGCCCTCGGGAAAGATTAGCGTGGACAGTGTGGTGGAGAAATTAATTTTTTGCCCGAAAGACATTGTCACCATCTCCGCCAAGGACGTCGATTTGGATTACGCTATTAGGGACACCTTCCAGACGGACACGGCCATTAGTAAGTTTAACGGTTTGATCGGCGAGAAGGAGCTCGAGCCCTGGGATCCGCCGGCCACCATGAACGGAGCCGACCTGGAATTGGACGGTGCCGCCGTAAGCATCTCGCGTTTTTTCCGCCATTTAGATTGGACTCCACTCGTTAGATAAGCCCGGAGCTTGTGATCGAGTTGTGTGAAGTCAAATTGCCCCTCAATTTCAGAACGGTTGGGACGTCAACGAAATGTTTCGTAAAAATGAACAAGAATACGGAGTCCAAACCACGTTTGAACCCTCCTTGGTCGGTTATACTCTACAACTGCAGCGTAAAGACACCAAGGATTACAAGGAGCAGGAGCAGAAGGCCGCTGAGATAGCGAACGAGATCGAGTCCCAGCCGAATCACAAGGCCAGATTAGAGCTGGAAAACGGCGACGAGGAGGAGAGATTTGCAGCTGTGGTGATTACATTTTACGCAACCTTTTGCCTTTTATTAGGCGGTAAACTTGGTCTCCGCGGTGTTTTTCGTTCAACAAACTCATCTCGATACAAAAGCAAAAAGTACATCGATCCAAGTATTTGCCCTCGCTAAATATATATTTTTCCCATCTCTCTGGCAATGAGTGGATTCCGCGACGATAGAACGATTGGTCTTTTGATGCAGTCCATTCATCGACCCATTTTTGCACATCCTCGTAATTTTTTAAGTGTGTATCCACCAAGCCGTGCTGCATCGATCGGGACAAGTGATAATCTGAAGGAGCCAAGTCTGGCGAATACGCTGGGTACGGGAGAACTTCCCACTCGAGCTGCAGAAGTGGTTCCTTGACGGCCTTTGCAACGTGTGGTCGAGCGTTGTCGTGCAAGAGAATAACTTCCTTTCCTTTTGAATCTTTCCCATTGCATGTAGACGTTTGGAAACGCCCATCGGAGTAACATTCAACGCTGCAGACAATTCTTGGAGCGTTTGAGCTGAGTTTTCATCCAATAACGTTTACAATTCAGTGTCTTCAAACTTTTCCGGCTGACCTGAGCGTTGTTTATCGTTCACATTAAAATCACCACTTTTAAATCGCTGAAACCATTCCTGGCATGTTCTTTCCGATGGAGCACAATTGCCATAAGCTTCGACAAGTAATTTATGAGCTGTAGCTGCAGTTTTTTTTTCCCAAATCAAAGTAATGAAGCAGCGCCTGTCAAATAAACAACTTGTCACGTTCCATGTTTAATCAAAAGGGAAAAAAAATGGCACTATTCTCTCAAATAAATCTTTTCGCGCTGAATTTTATTGACAAATGTCCCTTTAAAATGCAGCCAGTTTCAGATGTCAAAGTAAATTACACTTACAACTGTCGTCGTCTAAATATGAGCCGCGGAAACTAAGTTTACCGCCCAACACTTTCGTCTCGTCAAACTCGCCCCGTTAGCTACATCGGATGCTATTTGTATATCGTAGACACGACCCGCCGAGGGGAAGTATATTCCGCCACCGTTGAAAAAGAAGAATGGCAACACCAGCAAACTGATGAGATCCAGCCAGAGCGAGCCCCCGTCCTCGCCGGGAACCACCACCACCAACAACAATAGTAAGAATGTCTACAGTCAACCTCCTCCGTCCACGGTCAATGTAAATGTCCCGCAGTCGAGCATGCCGGTGGGAGTACAGCCTGCTCATACCTCGGTGCAACATCCGGTTTCCTTGAATATGAGTATGCCGCCCAACGGAGTGGTTGTTACGTACAATAATCCACCACCGCCGTTCGTGCCTCCATCGACGACGCAGTCGCAGCAAGGTATGTCGCTCGCTCGCTCGTTCACACCTTCGCACCTGCAAAGATGAGATTCGAGTCTGATGTTCGGCAATCGTCCTCTTTGTCCGGACTTTATGTACACGTGATAATTTTTATCTTTTTGTCGATCTAGTAATCCAGCAGAATCAATCGCAGTCCCAAGTTACTCCCTCGATGGCGCAAGTGAACTTCCCGCCGCAACAACAGACACCCCCGAGTAAAATAAATACGGAGAAACGCGAGCGGCCTGGCAGACAGCAGGTTTATCAAGCTGATAAGGCGCCACCAGCACCGTTTCCACAATCAAACGTCGCATCTTCTCACCATCAACAACAGTCTTCGCATCAACAGCATACATCGTTGCCGCAGCAAAACTCTGTAGAGGGGCAAATAGTCATACACAAGTCGGACCACAGAAAGGTACGGCACTTGCTCTCGCATATAAATCTGTACATTTCCTTTTCTTTTCTTCCTCAATAGTGAGGCAACTCATATATACTTACAAGTTTCACTTTAAGGTTCCAACGCCACGTGGTAGAGAAGAACAGGAACTGCGACAATTTTCTACGACCTTTAAATTAGTAGGAGAGCCGCAGGAACCGCCAGACACCCCTCAGATATCCAGGAAACAGCAGCATCAGCATCAACCGGACGTGCATTCCGCTGCTCCGATGAATCAGCCTCATCACCAAGGTTCTCATCAACATACGAGTCCACAGCAGCAACCGCAGCAACAGCCCACGCAGCAGCATACCAGTCCTCATCAGCAGCATCAAACTGTGCAAGAGGAACCAGTTACCAGTAAGCCACCGCCTGGTCCACTAGTAAGATCCACGAGTCCACCTCAGCAACAGCAGCAGCAACAGCAACAACAACAGCCGCCGCCGCCGCAACCGCAGCAGCAGCAACCACCACAACCACAACAACCACCACCACCGTCGCAACCACCTCAGACTAATACTCCGACGGTGCAACAACCTCCGTCGGAACCCGCGGTTGATAAGATAACTACAGCTTTTAAGAAATCTACTTTAAATCCAAACGCTAAAGAATTCAATCCAAATGCCAAACCATTCACGCCGGTAAGTAACGCATACTGCTACGTATAGTATATTGGAAAGTTGAATAGAAAAGGATGGAATAAAATTGGTATCTTTACAATATGTGCAGCGCTCACCTAGCACACCAACGCCTAGTCGGCCGCACACACCACAGACTCCTCAGTATACAGGGGCGACTATGCCCGCGACCGTTGTTATGCCGGCATACGTGACGCAATCGGCTTTCAATCAAGCACCTGCTCAACAAGTGACAAGGTTCCGGAAGGGTCAGTATTACCTTGCTGCATCCCCAGGTATCCTCTTACGTTTAAACTTCAAAGTCCTTGAGTTGATCTCGTTGACTTGTATTTCGATTAGGGCATAATAAATAGACGTAGCGAAGAAGCAGCGTAGTGTAACGCGACGGTTTTTTTGTCCAACAGTGCCCATGATGCAGCATCGTGCGCCAGATATAGCGTCTCAGATGCAAGTGGCCGCAGCAACGGGGCAGCCGTTATTAGCGCCAGCACTACATCCATTCCAGATGCCTTATACAGGACAGCCGTACCAGCAAATGGTGCGAATGGTGCAAGCACCGCCGCCACCGCACATGGCCACCCCGTACCATCATCACCATGACTCGCAAGGTCCACAGGCCCCCGGCATACAATACATGGGCCCGCACACTCATCCACATCCTCACGTAGCTCAACAGCCACCTAGCCAAACGCCGTCGCCGGCCAATCCGAATCAGCCGCACACACCGGGCGCCTACAATCCGCCCGGTACTCCACAGCCCACGTATCCGCAACCTCCGCCGCAAGGTCACGCGCCGACCTATCCGATCATGTGCCCTATAATTCCATCTCATATACCTTCACTTCCACCGCAACACATGCAATACCTGCCACCGCAGCCGCCTCCGGGCGCGCAGCAGACTATACCCGTCATTTTACCGCACAATCAGTAGCCGCGACATAAACTAAAGGAAAGAAAAGAAGCGTTAGTATTCTGAAATGGTAGGACATAAGACTTGAAAAATTGAGTTACTTTCACGATGGCATCGATCGGCCGATCGCTCCAAGAACCGCTTCAATTACTTCAATTACGCGCGTGCGTGCGCGCGCGCGCGCGCTCTCTTCATTCGATCCATCTAGAATCTAGATTCTAGATCAACTGATCTAGATATCTTCTCGTTCAGTCTCCTCTAGATCAACTATATGCATATATTAAAGCAGCGTAAAGTTATCTTACGCTGCTCACATCTTGCTGCGAATGAGAGGAAAGGTGGGTAATCGATCCATCATGTACGATACCCCGTGAGTGTGTAAACTTGTAAACGGATTCTAAAACTCTCACCGGACACTTACTCCGGAGAGTGTTGACCATCTTGAAAGTAACCTGTTATTCGAATGTAGGTCGATCGTTGAGTGACCTATGGCCTGTATTATCGTCGAGTCCCGTGGAAATTTCATTGATTATACTTTAATCAAGTTTTAAAATTGTAAAGCGATGGTTTATCAGCATGTAATTTTGCAAAATTCAAACAAGTTCACTTTTATCGGATTAGCATGCGTATCGGAATATATCGAGAAAGGGTCGACGACTTTTTCGATATCGTGCATTTTTATCGAGTAGTGCTCAATCCTCGTGTCTCCCTCGGGAGAGGACCGCTCTCGTTCGGTAGGCGTATTTTACAAAATTCAGGAGTTTGAATTGTCATACGCGATTGTCATTGCTTGCACTACCTTTGTTACTTGTGTCAAGTAACAATCAAGATTCATATTCTCGCGCCCGCTCTCTTTCTCTGTCTGTCTCCTTCATTTCTCCATCATTTTTAATCGAGATGATTATTGAAATTACACGAGAATCACGGAAAAGTACATGACATATTTTTCTGCCCGTGACTGGCGGAGGGGGAGGGGGGGGGAGGAAGACGAGGTGTCAATTCCATTCGGTAAGGAGAAGACTTCGGGAGAAAGGAAGAGCTTGATTTGAACGAAGCGAGCGATAATTCAGCTGTGGAGTACGGCTTGCAGGGTAAAACACTAGCGAGATATTGCTATCGATTCTGCGATTTGTTGATGATGAGTTTTGTTACGAGATGTTGATACGCGCAGGATCTTCGAACACGAAAGATCACACCGTATGCAAGTAAGCGAGACGGACGCGACGCAACGCAACACGTGCGAGCACACCGACGAATCGTGCTAATGTTAACGATGCGAACAGCAGGCATTCGAGAGGTACATAATTTGACGTGTTGGGTTTACTACCGAAATTTCAACGATTAATTTCGTTAGCGAACCCTGTCGTGCTATAGTTTGCGTTGGCGACAGCTAATGGTTTTCGTCTTTACGGTACTTTACACACTCGTTAGTGCTACTCGCGATACCAATAACGAGGAACATTGTCGACGCGACTCAAGTTTTACACGACATTTATTATGGCGCGACACGAATGTAAAAAAAGCTTTTCTTTCGAGTCGATATCGTTAGTTTGATTGCTCCCCAGAAATTGCTAGCGATTGCCGTACATTCTTACATCTGTGCGAGATGGAAGAAGGGAAATTTAGGCTTACTCGCGCGTTAATCTGGATCATTATGTAAGAATATAATGTGAAACATTGTGCATAATGGCGGTCTCGAGTAAGTTATTTATTAGTTCTTGTCGCATTCAACCGCGCAGTGATTTGACGATTCGAGGCGAATCTCTAATTGATCAAAGAATCACCATTGGATTGGACGAGCGCGAGTCCATCATGGGAATGTTTTCATCTTATTATTTCTACATCATGATCTGGATGACGAGGAAAGACACTGATCGATCGCTTGTTACCTTGTATCGAAGACTTGTACTCCAGACTATTCGTGACTATTAGAGGTGGAGCAGGACTGGTGGCGATGGAATCACATCAATCCTTGGTTAATTATGTACCTCTTATCGATATGTAAAAACCACGCTCGATACCTTGGATTTAGAAATCTATCTGAACGTAGCGTATACTGCCAGTAGAACAAGAAAAGGGAGAGGGCATAAGACCAGAGGCGAAAGAGAGCCGTAAAAATAAAAGAAGCTGGCATCGTATCTCTCTGTTTTTTTTTCCGCAGATAGGTAGAAAAAGTCTCCTTCCTACTCGACCCTGGAACAGCTCGCGCGCCTCGCTCAATTAGATTTGAAACAATTCAATTTCTGTTGCACGGCAAAACTTGTTTTGTGTCGCGTGAGGTATTTGATTTTGCGCGCGTATGCTAATGGAATGTAAGGGGGAGAATAAACGAATCTGTCTTTATTTCAATACGATCTATCGGGATTTGCAGCGCTGACGTCGAGTCGAAGGGAAGGTACTCCCCCTTTTCTCCCTTAATCGCCGCTAATCTCAGTTTCCCTTTGTGCACGGCTCCGTTCGGATAAATTTTTAATCCGCGCTCGATACCGATTGGGAAAAGAAAGTTAAACAACTACGGCCTTAGACCTAATCGTGTATATAAACGGAAGGAAGCAAAAACAACTTTTGCCTGAGAGAGAGAGAGAGAGAGAGATAGTTGAATGTGTGGCATCGTTAAACAGATTTTATATTAAAGAGATTTAAAAAGAAGAAAAAACATCAAAATAAAATCAATACGTTAAAAACCACTTTTCTCGCGCATATCTTTTCCCTCTCCTCTCTCATCCCTCGTGTCCAGCCTGCGAACAATATATATATTCTACATTTATGTGTATAATCTACGAACATTCTTTCGGGCAATTTACTACGCGCGCTTTATATCGATTCTCTTATTATCCTCGTCTCTGCATTCAAAATTTGATCCATTGCCGCCAATGGGGACCGGATCTTCTACGCATGCGCGATATTAACCCGGCCGTGAGAAGTAACGTTGTCCCCAGTGTTGTTGGAGATCTGCCCGCTTTTCGGGCATGCGCAGTGCAGATCTAGTGAAATCCAGTAACGTCCACATAAGCACAGAAAGTGGGAGCTTATTGTTTTGGCGATTTCTTTTTCTTGGAATACTGGTAAGTATTTTTGGCAGGTTTTCCTCGCAATAAGAAATTATTCGTTAAACATCCGAACGATGTCTTCTCGAAGACTGACGTCACGAAGTCCTTGTTACAATTTTTATAGAATACGTAAAAGAATCGGGCCTTCACAGGACCTTCGTATATCCGAGCTTACTACTTTACTGATGCCATATTGCACTGCGCATGCCCGAAAAGCAGGCAGATCTAACAACACTGCTCCCCAGAAGAGACCTCCGCGAATCCTCCATAATACACGTGCGTCACGTGTGTGGAGTGGTGTGTGGAGCATTCGTGACACTCGTTATTTTGTAAATAGACGAAATTATATTCCCAATTCGCGCCGAATAACAAGCAAGGGGACAATGAAGACACGGAGATGGGAACAGCTGGATGTACGATTGAGCGATCCCGTACTGAGGACGCTCAAGCAGTTGCGGTTTTTCCACACGACGCCAGTTCAGGTGGTGTAACCGTATTATGCCACAGCGCATTTAGCCCACGCTACACCCGGCACTTACATCATGTATTGCATTTGTAGGCAGCTTGTATACCGTTGTTATTGAACGGCAAGGACGTTGCGGCGGAAGCGGTCACAGGCAGCGGCAAGACACTCGCTTTTCTTATTCCTCTATTGGAGATATTACAAGTAATCTTTTATGCCTTTCAATCTCTCTCTGTCGATCCCTCGTGATCTTTCTAAATCCAGATTAGAGTAATTTGTAGCAGATGCACTTTTTAATTGACTTACTTCTCTTGCCGGCCTTTCGACAAACCTAGCATGGCACGTTGTATAATAGATTTATTCACACGCGACGGAGAAACAGCGAACGTACAGCCTGTCGGCTGGCGTCGTTCTAGAGATTCGGTTTTATCGACGAGCTTTGTTACATTGAACGCATGTAATTGCGTGTAAACGTGTGTACAGAGGCGAGCTGAGAAATGGAAGACCACGGAAGTAGGCGCGATAGTGGTCAGCCCTACGAGAGAGCTGGCTACGCAGATTAGTGAAATTTTAGCCGAGTTCTTGGACAACATTCCGTCGCTGAGGCAAGTTCTACTGGTGGGCGGTGTGTCGCTCAAGAGAGATGCAGAGAAACTGAAGGAAGGGACGAATATTATTGTCGCCACACCCGGTAGATTGCAAGATATCTTGTCCAACTGTAATTCCGTCAACTTGAATCTAAAGTCTTTGGTAATTAGCTCAGCCTCGCAACAATCTCACGCGGATCTGACAATTGTCGATCGCTAAAGGTACACCTTCGTTTCTAGGAATTTCTCGTGCTGGACGAGGCAGATAGATTACTGGACTTGGGATTCTCGGCGGCCTTGGATAGTATTTTAAGCTATCTGCCGCGTCTCAGGAGAACGGGGCTGTTTTCGGCGACGCAGACGAAGCAACTGGAGCACTTGATCAGGGCGGGACTGAGAAATCCAGCGTTGATCGTTGTGAAGGAAAAGTCCAATGTCTCCACGCCTGTAAATTTGAAAAATAGTTTTGCAATTGTCCAGCCTGAGTACAAGTTGCCGGTGATGATAGATTTTATACGCTCGATAGGATTTCAAACGAAGTATATGATATTCTTACCTACCTGCGCGTGCGTGGATTACTTCAGCCGAGTTATACAGACGTAAGGGCATAGTCGAGACAAATATTAAGTATTAAACGAAGCTTCCTTTGTTCTGCTAAATTCCATATACTTAATTTCACCGTCTGAAATGCTTCTGTTGCTTCTCATTCTCGCAGCACTTTTTTCAAACAATTTATCTTACCTGCATGTGTACTTTTACGTACATGCATACCGCATCTTTGCAGATTATTGCCCTCGATCAACGTGCTCGCTCTACACGGTAAAATGAAAAGCAAGAGGTATAAAGTGTTCGATAAATTTCGACGTGCCGAAAATGGCATTTTAATATGCACAGACGTAATGGCTCGTGGCATCGATATATCGGAAATAGACTGGGTGTTACAATACGACCCTCCGTCAATGGCTAGCAGTTTTGTACACAGGTAACACGGCGGGTGCAATGGCGATTATTGTAAAGATTTCTTGTCTAAAATTCTCGCGTTTTCCATTGCGTAGGTGCGGTAGAACCGCTAGGATTGGTAACGAAGGAGACGCATTGCTGTTTCTTCTGGAGACCGAGAGCGCGTATGTTGATTTCATTAGAAGAAATCAAAAGGTCGAACTGCGTGAAATGGAAACAAAATTGAACGAGGATACTGTTGACGAATGCTTGCGGTGTATGAGGCTGATGCAACAAAAGGATCGACTTGTGTTCGACAAAGCCAACCGGGCCTTCGTCTCATACGTACAAGCGTACAGTAAACACGAGTGCAATTTGATTCTTCAGTTAAAAGATATCGACTTGGGCAAGCTGGCTATGGGCTTTGGTCTTTTGAGAATGCCAAGGATGCCAGAGCTCAAGGGGAAGAATGTGTCATCTTTCGTCGGCCCCGAGATCGATGTAAACGCGATACCTTATCTGCACGAGCAACGTGAATTGCGTAGGATTCAAAGACTGAGCGAATATCAGAACACTGGTGTTTGGACGAATAATCATAGGTGCAAACAAAGGCGAACTGAATCCTGGTCCGAGACCAAAAAGAGGAAACTCGAGAGGCGAGAGAAACGAGGTAAACGGAAGGAGAGGAAGGAATTGAAACAACAGGTTTCAACGACTCGTAACAAAAAGAAGAGGAAGCGAATAAATGAGGAAGATGTCGAGCAGTTGGCGAAAGATATAGCATTAATTAAGAAATTTAAGAAGAAGAAGGTAAAAGCTCTCTCTCACACACACACACACACGTGCACAATTTTTTTATTTTATTATTTTATGTACTATTTCATATTTACTTGCAGATATCGCAGGAAGAATTTGACACGGCTTTCGAAATCTGAAATTATTTGGCATAATTGCACGAGACATCTCGATCGAAATTCCTTTGATAATTTCATTGTACGTGTTTTCTCAAAATATACTATACATATGAAACTTGGTAATGTAGATGCAACAATTAATACTTCCTTGCGATTCCTCTCCTTTGAGTTCCTGTAAATATTTACAAATATTCATACCATTACGCAAGCAAATGAAGCACCAGACATTTTTACATTTGTCACAGCAAGTGAGTTAAGTATTTATTTGCAGGAGTTAAGGATCTCGGAGATGATTCGCATGTTAGATTCGACACGAAGCTCGAACGTGCAAATAAACGCAAGACTCGCTTCCGTATGTTCTGCTCGCTCCTACCTTTGTTGGGTCTTTAAACGCGTTCCCCACTGCGCGACGGGGCCAGGATAACGCGGTAGAGGGGAGAAAATCTTCCAACAGGCGTACGTGTGTGTTGTGTATGCGGGCGCGCGCGCGTGTATGCGTACACGCCTTTTGAATGAATGGGGCTATCGGTGATTCGAAAAATCCGAGTATTGGTGCGTATAGTCATGTCGGAGTCGCTCCGATGATTCATACACATACGTGTTGCACGTCAAGCGACCGCGAGAGATAAGTTTGCACCGAATACGAGACTCGGTTTTTCAATAGAGTTCTCCTCTCATGTTGGAGAATGGAAGAGGAGACGACAAGTCGCCCAAAGTGGCTGCTGGAGCTGGAAAATCGCAAGCGTAAGGTACATGAAATTTCAACGCATACACGTACATACTTTGGTTAAAAGTTAGAGAGACAGGAGGGGCGCATATAATAAACGTGTACGTGTATCTATAAAGTTAATCAAGTTGATCGGTCGTGTCCTATTTTACGTTTGCTCAGCCACGTTTAGCGCACGAGGCTGGAGCTGGTGCGCCATGCACGAACTGCAATTCCGCGTGTCCTGGCCTCGATCTTCATTTCTGGCGAAAGATCTGCAAGAATTGCAAATGCAGTCGGGACGATCACGATGTCGACGACGACGAGTTCCCGCAATTTGATTTGCTATTCGGACCGAGCCTAGGAAAGTTCAAGAAGAAGGCCATGCGTGAGTGCTTTTTCTATATGTATAAATATAAGATTAATCGTAATTTAACAAATGTTACATTTCTCACCCTTGTACAAGTATTTAATATTAATAACATAAAACTGTTTTTACGTTCACATACGTAAAGTTGAATGTAATATTTGTTTGTAGTAAAATCAGACTCTTTACATCTTTATGAGATATAAAGGTGTGCATTTATATTGTATGTGCATACGCTACGGCTACTTGTTGCATTAGGAATATTGATCTCTAGGTTTGCAAGTAAATAATAAGAAGCACAACGATGGTGAAACTACATTTGAGTGGGTGCCACCGGACACAACTCAGGAACTTGCTGTGGATTATATGAAGGCTTTGCCTGCGGAGAAATTGCCGATTAAAGGATCCGTTGGTGCTGTTTTGAGAAGGCAATTGTTACAGAAACAGCTACCCCTTCATGACATCGATCACAAAGTTTGTGATCAACTTAGCGAACAGGAGCAGAAACAATTTGAAAAGTATCTAGACAACATCAAGAGATACGTAGGACAAGGCAAAGTGATGAAGGTAAGGTCGTGGCGACTTGACTTGCACGTCGCTTTACAATCGGCTGCGGATACGATTCAGATTTTTATGTATTTGAGATTTTTCCAAAGCGAGTCCCAAGAGCGACAAACTAATGCAGACATTATTATCTTCACAGATATTTGGCGCTCGCCCATTCGACCGTTCCCTCATGACGCCTGTCAACGCGACCGATATGCAGAAGCACAGTCCACAGCACAAACCTTCCATAAATGTGCCTTCCACTGGCGTTCAATTACGTACACCGAGTAGCTTTGCCGTGAAAAGCCCGTACGCGCGGCATCCGTATGACGCCCAGAATAAACGGGATGCTGCCACAAATAACAATGAGGCACCCAGTACAAAGGGGTACAACTGTACTCTTGACAGTGTGTCTGCCAGTAGCTATATCGCGCGATCGCAACCAATCGAAGGGAAATTGATTTGCGACAATTACCAACGTCCACACGACACCGTAACGCCATCGAGCGCAAACGAAAAGGGTATAACCGGCAAGACGGTGAATTCTTCGATTCTTACGTATCTCGCCGAGCAAGAAATGGTAGAGAGGCGGGACACGCTTGGAAGTTGTAACGTATCTTACGGGGAAGACGCGCTCGAAAGACTCGGAGATACCACGTTGCGTACCGCGCATCCAGAAGCGGTCGACGACAAGGTGGCTCTCATCGCGGAATCCATGCTGGCGGATGCGCTTCTTCCGCCCAGTGCGATACACGCCAACGATATTGTCGGTAGCACGCTGGATGAGAAAGGATTGACGTTTATAAGGGAGAAGCTCGCCGATAAGTATAACATCGCGGAGAATCCAGTCGCGATGCGCGCCGTTTCCAAATCTTTCCGACCGTTGGACAGCGCGAGTAATATATCGTGTCCAACGCGTAACAACGGAGCCGAGGAAGACGACGCTGCTGCGAAAGGTCATGCGGAAACGGCAGAGACGGGCGTACCTTTGGAAGCAGCGAGAAAGACGTATAAACCGCCCAAGTCTCAAGTAGTTGAATCGACTAGCATACCGATCGCACCGACACCCACCAGTACCGCCGATGTAAATCAACGAAGGCGATGCGGCGGTCTCTTGCCGAACAGCAAAGCGGCCGTGAACGATCCGTTGGTGACGGATACATCTAGAGCTATAATGGAAAGCACTGCGGATCCATTATCTGGCCAGTGCAATTCCACACACGCCGCTTCTTCCACGTCGAATCCATCCGACTCGCAGGAGCCTGTCGGTAGATTTGCCGACGCAAAATCCAATCCGTTGCTAGCTGAGTTGAGTAGCTCGGTCCTGCAACCGTCCGTCATACATTCCGAACAGCTGCAAAACCCCGCGTTTCCTCACACTGTCGGGAGCTTCAACGAGCAACGGAATATGCAACTTGTGGACTGCTTAAGGGATGCCGTTGAGAGCCTAAAGTTGGATTCGACCGGCCAGGTGCAAAAGTGCGAAAAATGCCACGAGGACATACGCGTCGGCGACGTAGTCGTAATCGTGGAGAAGGCCAATAACGCGTCCTGGCACCCCGGCTGTTTCGTTTGTTCGGTATGCGACGAATTGTTGGTGGACCTCGTGTACTTTTACTATAAGAACCAATTGTATTGCGGAAGAGACTTGGCCACATTTCTAGGGATTCCACGGTGTTTCGCTTGCGACGAGGTAAGAGAATAAGAGACTTCGAAAGAGAGCGTATTATCTCGATCGTAACTTTTTCAACCTGCAACATTATAAAATTATAGATTGAATAATATTGAGACTGAAAAGCTCAGCAAAATATGATTTTAATTGTACTTTACAAGTTATAAATGTCTTGGTCTGATGTGTTTTTGTAAAGGAACGTTCGACCACTCAAAAGTCATATTTGCGTAAAGAGAAAACCGATTGGAAAAATTCGCGGTTCCGAATACACTGCTAACAATAAACGCAACTCTACCGAGTTGTGTCCTCTATGAAGACAATTCTTTTTCAAGCTATAACCATTTGTTTGTTGCAGCTGATCTTTGTACGGGAGTACACGGTTGCGGAGGGGCACAATTATCACGTGAAGCACTTTTGTTGCTGGGACTGTGACATGCCATTGGCTGGGCAACAATACATTACCGAAAACGATCGACCGTTGTGTCTGCCTTGTTATCAAAAATCGTACGCAAAGACGTGCGCCGCCTGTAACGTAGTGATTGCCGCCGATCAACAAGGTGTAGCTATAAAAGATTTAAACTTTCACGCGACCCAAGTCTGCTTTTGCTGCTACAGCTGTAAGAAAAACTTACTGAACGGCCGAATGGCGGTAAAGAAGGATAAGTTGTTTTGCAGTAAAGAGTGCATCGCAAAGTTCTTCAACTAGTAAATCAATGGACGAAGTAAATCCGTCTGCTATTTTCTGACATGTTGTTCCTGTTGTAAGAGAAATGTAGTTTCATTATGGAAATATAAGAAAACCGCAAGTTTTAACACTACGTAAATAATGTATCGTGCATGTTATGTGCGCTCTATTTTCGCGCCGAGATGTCGCATGTAACGTGACACAATAAATACATTGACTTATCAGCGCTGTGTACATTTGTGTAGATTTGCGATGCAAATTAATTGCAATCCGGCTATAGCTTTACTGTAATATCGAAGATGAATAGTTTTTTATATCTTGAATCTTGACTCTCGTTATGCACGTACGTACGAAAGCGAGGGGGAAACCGCTGGCCAAAATCTTGTACACCAATGCCTACAAATGCCCAGTGGGCATTACTTTATCTTATTATATCCTATTTTATCTTTATAATGTCCCAGCAAGACCTAATGCCCAAAAGATGCCCTAGTAATGTCCAGTAATGCCGCAAATCTGTGTACACCACAATGCCCTCGGCGGTTTCCCCCTCGTACGAAAGTAACGAATCATCATTCGCTGTTTTGTACGAAGAGTCGTGGTAATGTTATACAATAACTCAAGCGAATAAAATTGATACATTTTGGTTTCAAAGATAGGGAAAGGGGAAGACAATAGTAACTTTTTGTTGACAATTATATTTTAAAGTGTGAAAAAATAGGAATAGCCTTGTGATTCATGGCTCTCAAATGTAAGTTTCATATTACATATACATTTCAGTTACGTCTTTAATATTAGTTCAATATACTTCTATACACACACACATATATGTATGTGTGTATATAGAGATTTGAACAACGAACTGCATATAAATTACTCATACATATATTTAATACACACTACGGGTTAGATTTAAACACTCGAAAGTAGCGCTGCTCTTTTTATTTAGGCAAAGCATATCTATTTGAATCTTCGATAATATAAATCTAATAACTTTTTTTTAGCCATCTTTAGTTTTCTCTTCATATTTGCACAATGAAATGTATCGTGATCTACTTGATTTAATGTAGGTATTGCGTAAGTTCTGAAATTATCTTTCTCGTACGGGCCATTAGTGACTTACCTCAACTACAGAGTAACGCGAGTCGATATAATCGATTAAAATGAGCCTTGTTTCAGCATTTCCAGATTTCAACGTACAACTGATTCACCGACAGCAAGCTAAACAGTAAGTTACGATATAAGAAATAGTATAATAATTACGACATACGAAAACTTGAGGATAATGTAAAATATTTCCCATATACGTGAGCAAGCAGGCGGGCGCATACGCACAGCTACACAATTTACACCTGATTAGCTCTGTCGTTTAATACTTGAATGTGTTTGCGAGGGTGATTTGATAAATAACTTGGTTTGATATTAAAAAGGACAATTTGAGTTTTGCAACGTACTTTACTTCACGTGCCCTAACGTTTCTTCAAGTTCGTGATTCCTTCGCGGAAGTGGGTTTCTTCGAGACCCTCAAAATACGCGTATACCTCTTCATTTGACCCAAATTTTTGTCCAGCCAGGAAAGTTGGTCTTAGTTAATCTACTAATTATTGTACAAAAGTTCTACTCGAGATGTATATGAAGTTTAAAACAACAAGATAACAAGACGCAGCGAGCCCCAACTAAGGCACCATGCGCAAATTTCAGTCAGTTCATAAAAAAATGTGAAGTTGAGTAATAACAGGCATTACTACCAATTATCATCGAGAGCGAGACGTGTAACATAATAGTATGCGAACAAAGTTACTTATCAAACCACCCTCGTATGTGTATATATATAAAACTCTATATCTATGTACATCATTCAACAATCATGGAATTCTCTTGCAGAAAATATGCTCTTTATTCCGAATCGCTATCGATAACTGTTTGAATACGCCTAAACGTATTACGGGCCTCTCGATGTCGCGGCGTGTCCGGAGATGCCTTCTTAAAAGTTTCCACATTTCTTCGTGATCGCGTAACTCGCCCTAGAATATAAACGAATTCAACGTGCGCGTGCAATCCCCAAAATATTAATTAATAACAATTGACATATAACGTAAATCGACGACAAAGCCGCTCATATTAACCTTCAGATATAATATTTGACGTATCCAGTCCGGATACCTCCTTCATCTTCTCATTCTTTTTTCGCACTTTCTTACACTTTTCCAACGTTGGCCTACCGTAAATACCATTCTTCTCCAACAATTCCTGTAGGCGCTTAACCTTGGCAGCGTTACTTTTACAATCGGCCCAAAGGTCATTGTAACACTTAACTCTCACGCCTGCAGCCTTTAAATAGGTCTTAAACATCTGTATTCGCCTCTCGTGCGGTTCCTGAAATAATTCATCTTATGGAAAAAGGGAACAACGGGCAGTAGTTTGTGCCGCTATTGTATTAATTTTAAACTACTCTACTTACATGAGTACTTTTCCTCCTTTTCCCCTTTACAGATCTCTCCTCCCCCTCGGAATTATCGTCGCTTTCGTCCTTAGTCGAAGATATTTCCCCCTCCGACAATTTTTCCTCCATTCCATTCTTACCCTTTGCCGTTTCGTCCTCTCTCTCTTTTACAGTCGCCTCAGCATCTTCACCCTCTTCATTTATATCTACATCGGATACACGTTCGGCATTCTTCTTGTGAGAATTCCCTCTCGCACCTCTACCTCGTCCTCTTTTCGACTCGGTCGAGCGATATTTGCCTGTCGATTTCTTTGCCATCAAAGATTTCCTCATCTTCTTCTTCGTTTGTGGACTGTAATCCTCGTCCGAATTGCTATTCTGGCTGTCCTCCGAGTCGGAAGCCTTCAATTTGCTGAAACTCGTTCGTGAACCTTTCCTCTTGGTCCCCCTGCTCTTTTCCGATTTAATTTCTACCGCGTCGACGGGCGCTCGTTGCGAATCAGACTTTACTCCATCAGACGAACAGTCCAGTTCCGACTCACTTGGCTCGGCTTTGACGATTATCGTCCTCGGCCGTGGTTTTACATCTTTCTCACCCTCGCTCTCGTGACTCGATTCGTCCTTGTCACTCGCGCATTCCACCAAAAGCTCCAGTCCGTCTACCACTTCCGTGTCTACATGTTTCTTGACAAAAGGCTCCTTTTTTATCCCATCTTTTTCTACATCCATCATTTCGTCAGTTTCTCTTTTAACTGCCACACCGTCCTCCGTTCCCACAGTACACGTACTTTCATTCGCAGCAGACTTTTGTCGCGGGGATGGACTGTCCTTTTGTGTTTACACGCGCGTAAATAAAAGAAAAATATAGCATATAAATAACTAAGGTCAGAGAATTTGGTACGTAACATAATAGAAATTGTAATTAGCGGTGTAAATTTACATTACCTCATTTTCCTTCTGAATGTCCAGCATTTCTCCACTATTGTTCAGAGCGGCGTTTTCCTCACACAGAGGGCTTTCCTTTCCATTTTTTCCTCCCAATTGGCCACATTCTTTCTCCTTACCCTTCCCGTTCTCGTCTGATTCTGAGTGGGATACCTCTTGTGCGGCTTGTTTGTTTTTTGGACACAACGAATATCCTTTCTCTTTCACATTATTTTTGTTCGAAAATTCAGCACCGTCGCTTTCTGCCACTTGCGATTGTACGTCCGGGCGTTTCTTAGCAGGCGAATCTGTCTCATCCTCAGAATTGTCTGTCAGTGATCTTTCCTTTGGCTTGTCTGCGAGAGAATCTGACGACAATTGTAACCTATCCATGACACCCTCCTCAGATTCGTTGCAGTCAGAATCTACCATTTTAGAATAGCGAGCTGAAATAATTGCACGTTTTATTGTCAAGTGTTACGAAAGGTGGTACATATGTATGTAAACCCAACGACGAGACTTGTCTGTGTGTGTGTGTGTGTGCGTATGTGTGTTGTGTGTGTGCGATTCGAAAAATGTAGTATCCTGTATAAAATTCACGAGTGTAAATGACACTCACATTTCACGTTGGACGAGAAGAAACTTTGTATCTTCAATCAGATCAATTATATCGAGGATATGCAGTTTTGATGATACTCGATGATTCTCCTGCGCTTCCTGCGTTAACCGGAATCACTCTTACCGAGAATAGAATCTCGTGGATACAATTTGTCCCGGAAGACTGACCGAACTCTCGATATTCCTGTACAAATCGCACGTAAAATACTAATACATTGCGCAGTATTGCAGTCTCACCAGAAACATTCACATACAATCCGTCACTCTTCACGATCGCTATGTTTGCGCGGCAAAATCTACGCACAATGGAGCGTTTGTTTTCTAGGGAGAAAAATGACATACGTATGTATATACAGCTTGAGCTAGAGTCCCCAGAGAGCACGTTTCCTATTGGATGTCGGGACATTGCGAATTGCGAGCCATGAATGCTATGAACA